CAGGTGTAGGGAGACACTGACGGAGACCGCATCGACACTAACACAAGAGAACGATGCAGGTAAAAACAGACTGAACTGAGCTGATGGCACTAGAAAAAAAAAATGCTTCTAAGAAACAAAGTGCTCGCAAAATGTTTATTCCTCTCCAGCAGGAGTGGAGGATGACTCAGCTCTTTGAGACAATCAGGTGATTTAAGGCAAAACATGGTCCCATAAATAGAAAATAAGACACTGCTTTCTTTATTTGTAAGAGCTGTTCTATTTTTTCCCCTTTCTGTTGCACTCGTACTCATACTCACTATACAAATAGGGTCAGGTTCCAACATTGGCACTGTAGCTAAGATGGGGCCGTTTCCTACAGCGCCCCAAGGAGTCTGAATCATGCAGCACAAGACCTTTGTTTGACTTGAATGTTGTCAGCCTGTACTATGAAACCGTCTAGTGTCTGTACATATTAAAGATCTGATGCAGACGATCAGAGATCAATACTTGCGTCTTGACTTTAATCTGAACAGCAGCAGAACAGTAACAGCCATTCTCTGTGCATTACCCACCTCTACTGCAGATTTCTCTGTAACGCCAGGTGAGAAAACTCATGTTTAACAGAGCCATCTGATCCTCTCTTTCCACCACCGACAGATAATACACACAGGACAGACTGTGCAACAGCCAGATGTACTAATGTGTCTCTGATGCCAAACACAGCAGGGCTGATCGACGCCTCTGTGACGCCCTCTAGTGTCCAGAATGGTCTCAGGATAGTCAACAGACAGCTTCATAGCTCAGTGTGTCTGGATTCTCAGAACATTTGAGTGTAAAAAGCTTCAACTACTATAATATCTGACCAGAAGATACAGGACATATGGTCACAGAGCAAACTGGTTTCTACAGTCCAAAGTCAGTATTTAGTGTGACCTCCCTTTGCACAGCTTGGATTCTTTTGGGGAGACAGTCCTGAAGTCTTGTAGCCATGACAGACCCTTCGCCATGTGTCACTGAAGGCTGCTCATTCCTCCACCTCTCTCCAACAGCAGTCTCATATGGAGACTCCAGATGCTGTACAACATCTGTTCAGGATGATTCTGTGTAAAACATGTCTTTCTGAAGACATAACCATCTCTAAATATTAAATACTTCAAGACAGTTGTTCACATAAATGAAAGTCTCGCCGACACCTGCTGCTAAACTTGGCTGGTTTAGTTAAACATGCCATCTTTGTCCCTAAATGTGTTTTGATATGCTTTTTCTAAAAGTTCGCCAAACAAAGCTACAGTCAAATGTTATTTTGAAGCTATTTTGCTTCTTTACTTTGGTGTATGTGCTCCTGGGGCAGGATATCACTGAACAGCTACAGTACTGACCAGTACCACGATGGTCATCAGTCACCCAGTGCTGCAGCTTTCTAATGAATGTAGGTAGATTCTGGGTGATAAACGTGTCCATCTGCTGCTCAAACATGTCACAGCAGGAGGCAGAATCCATGCAGCTGGAAGTGATTTAAAGCTGCTTGATACGAACTCCAGACATTTGCCCGTACGTGACCTGTGCAGAGCTCAGCCGGGGACATTTTGTGATGAGTAATGCACATGAATTACTGGTTTTTCATATTGTGACCTACAGTATTTATTCAAGTGATTGTCTGCGAGATCCTTGTCACTTCTGGCTTCTGAACAAGGCTGAGACAAAATAAAATGTTAGAATCGACAGGTACACAGCTGCAGGCCTTTATGGGCCTATGTAAAGAAAAGACTACCACGTATGACAGGCGCACACAGAGCAAGAGTTTTACTTGGTAGTAACAGACCAATGACGGCTCTTTATAAAAATGAGTAGTTTGTATCAGGAAAGTACAAATTCCAGGACATATTCATGCCTCTAAATGCTGACTATGCTACGCAGATTGGTGGTTTAACATTGACACCTTTCAAATTGCAGTTTGTGTGGAAAGTAAAGCCACAGGGTTTTAGAAAACTGATCCTCATAATGACGCAAAAACAGGTGAATCTGAATTGTTCTCTGGGAATAATTATGAATTATGTCTAATATTTTTCTTATTGTCAGCAAATCCCTTTAAAACCAACTACATGTTCGTCCTTCTCCCAGTACTAACACCACTGGCTCCTACTTACAAATATATGAGTTCATTTTTTAAAAATCTCATTCTCTTAAAGCAGCTGCCCACTGTTTATTAAACATTAAACAAACTGTGCTTTTTGTAGGGGACTATTTTTAGTGGCGGATGAATCCACCTTTGGTGAGTATTTGTGTTCATGGTAATGAAGGAACACGTCACTCAGACAGGTGTGCACAGAGGAAGGAGACATGTTGTTGCTTTTCCCTGATGGCAATAAGAAAAACATGGAGCATCACTGGATTTGTTATTTATTATTCTTGAAATCTTCTGCTTGATGGAAAGACTCCCTAATCAATAACCACCCCTCTGTGTCCATCCATCATGCTGTGGCCATCTCTCTCCATCTGGGCATCCGTCCCAGTCTGTCTGACCGATTCACTCACGCCCAGCCCACATGAGTTTATCACAAATGGACTGATAAAATCAAACATTCGTACCCTGAACGTGTCCGGGGAGCCGAGGTGGAACTTCTGCCTGATGCCCTCGGGAGCTCCGGCACACAGTCGGTAGAAGATATGGTAGTTTCTCTCCTCGGGGCCTTGCCGGCAGATCCTCGATTTCTCCAGCAGGTAGTGCGACACGAAGCCACCCACTACGGCGTTCTGACGAGGACAACAAGAGACACTTAAACATCCCAAATACACACTAATACTACATTTCTAGTAGCTGTCAGGGCAAGTTGACCTCGCATCCTGTTACAGTATTACACTGTAAGTAAGCAGAGAGTTTAAACTGGTTTAAATGCAGTTAATGGGGTAGAAAATCAGAGATCAACGATAATAAAAGCACAAAGAACACTGTAATACATTAGGCCACAATGCCTGCATAAGAAATATATGGAAATAACTGACAGGTCTGCAGCAGCAGCTGTAACAGATGCAAAGACAAAGATGAAAGATGATATCTGTGGAGTCCGAGGCCTCATTACTGTTTGTTTTCTGCTATGTAAGCATCTGAGATGAAGTGAAAATCAATATAACCATAGCTATTAGGCATCATATTTATATCACAGCTATAAAAAACAGTCTACAGTATTATTAGGAGACGGAGTGAAGAACCTTCTCATTGAAGTGGATTTCCACAAACTTTCCAAAGCGGCTGCTGTTGTTGTTCCGGACGGTTTTTGCATTTCCGAAAGCCTCCAGCAAAGGGTTCGCTGCCGGGTTCAAGGAGCAAACAGTGAAGTCAGAAACTCACACAGGAGAAATGATGATTTAACTGATGCAAAGAGCAGGAGTGAGTCCTACCTTCCACTATTCTCTCGTCTATGTCCTGCCCTGATCCATACGAGGTCGTCAAGTATCTGGTGGGAGACATGAGCTACGTTCAGGGTCAAAGTGAGAGTGAAATGCACAGCGACTTCCTCATGACACAGCAGGCTGCCCTTCAGGGTCATGGTGTTTTTGAGCAGAGTCAAGTTTTACATTAAATAATAAATACAGGGAGTGGAAAAATGACACCTATTATATATGTGATGCAATAAAACAAGCCTATAAAAACACGACCCTCATGAAGCCTTTGTAGACTCAGTGTCTGTTTCATGAAACTGACACCGACTACGACTTGTTGCCGTCAGTGACTCGGTGCCAATGCAGTGCACAAAGATGCAGCGTCATCCTCACCTCAGCACAAACTTGGTGTTCTCGGTCTTCCCAGCCCCGGACTCCCCTGAGACGATGATGGACTGGCTCATTTTCAGGACCTTCATGTCCCTGTAGGCCTTATCAGCTGGCCCAGCCACACAGACAGAAGCAGGTGGTAGATTAGAGACTAATCTGAGACCAGCAACCAAAGGTCAGGGATTTTTCTGCAGTATTAAGGTTATATTATATGGGTGAAGACACCGACATGTTTGGGGGAGTGTGGGAAATTTGAGCCCTGACTGCCGCCTAGTGGACAGATTAGAAACTACAGCATGAGATTATCAGTGGAACATAGTACCTGTGAGTACTATAGGATCAGTTCTGGCTTGGTTTTGGTCTTTGTTGACAGTAACATGTAACAACTAGGTTGTTTAATGCATCTTATTTTATACAGCCACATGTACAAAACAACAGGTTTAGATTTAGGTTTCAAAGAAGGTAAATTTACATGACTGTGTTCTAATACATCTGTTTTCTCTCTGACAGCTGCTCAAGGTGATAAGTATCATTATTATACACTGGTTTAGAATACAGAAACAGAAATATTAAAATATAGCATAGGATTAGTTCAAGAACTGCTTCAATAAAAGAATGCATTCTGAAAATATGAGAATGTTTAAAAGCCTAAACATCTTGTTGTTGTTTGTAGAAATGTGCTTTTTCATCTGTTTACTTATTTATCTGTAATTTTCTTCTGTATTATATTGTTTTTTGGGGACAGATTTGAGGTCACAGTGACCATCAAGAGTCTAATAAATTCATCCTTTAGTTTAGGTGGACGTTTGTGCCAAATTCTAAGAAATTCCCTCAAGGCGTTCCTAAGATACATCATGTTCATGAAATGGGCTGCACAGACAACCCAAAACATAATGCTTCTGGTCAGGGCTATCACCAGCAAAGAGAGACGCACAAAGAGAGCACAACGTGAGGATGTTTCCCTCTTGTTGTTAACCAGTAGTACACACAGTATACTCATGGATGGCTCACTGAAGGGGCCAACCGGGCACAGGCCCAGGGGTCCCCAACAGGAGGAAACATTTCTTATTGAACAAAATGAGTGAGAGATGCAAAAGGACGGCCTAGACACAAGACATCCAGACAAAAAGAGACAGATGTATAACAAGTAAAAGGAGACAAAAAACAAGTACAAATGAACTCGGAAGGACAAAAAAAAAAAATTTCATCAAAACACAAAATAAGTGTAACCAGACAGAAAAAGAAACACCCTGCTCTTCTAGAGAAGGGGTGGGGGTTGTCTCATACATTGAACTGAACCCCAGATAGGAAGGGTCAACAACACGGCCAAGCTCGTCTTTAGCTCTCAGCTCACTCTGTGTTTAATGAGGCATCAGCTGCTTCAATAAAACCGAACTGAGGCAGCAGCAGCAGCGTTCACTCACCGATGGCAAAGACGTGTGGCGGCAGCGTTCCCAGCGACCTGCCCCGGTACTGCTTGATGGCCTCCGGTGAGTAAAGCTTTGGGATGTCATAGTACGGGTTCACGGCGATCAGGATGTTGGCTACATACGTCTGCACGAGGAGAAGAATGAAATTAAAATCCCTTAGGAACAAAGGAGGACATATCGTCTCTGCTGCAGCCCTCAGTCTCCCATAATCTGTGGTGTGCTGGTCAACTCCACATTCAGGCAAACCACAACAACACAAAGTTGGAAAACAACGGTCATATTTATAGGACATACACACACTCACTTTATTATCATGAAAAAACATAACACTAAACATACAACAGTGAGTGTAGGCTAAACAACAAATACAACCGCCCAACAATTCTCCCACATGAACACCTCTGGTCCACTGCATATGGAAAAATAATTTCATTCTTCAGCCACTAGAGGTCAGGAGCTAAACTCATACATATGGAAAAATCATTTCATTCTTCAGCCACTAGAGGTCAGCGTGCACCGAGTCTGATTAACAGCGACACCACTGCGCCACAGAGGAAGACACAGTTCAATCAGGGTCCCACTCACTGTTTGTGAAGACCTGAACATTTCAAACAAGTCTGGACTTCTGTAGATGAAAGCAGTTTGACATTTTGGGGAGTGGGGACATTTTAGTGGAGTAAAAATATTTTGAAGACTTCAATCATTGGAGAGTGAGTTAAGTTAAGAGACTGAAGACTCATTTTTTAAATTTAAGGTCAGAACTAGGTTTAGGTTAAGGCTGGGCTTAAAGGTTAGGAAGACAAAGTGCCCGTGTTATGTTGACATGCAGATGTGAAGTGTGTTTACTCTGCATGTCATTATACTGATTTACCCAAGTAAAATTTTCTTTATGTTTTGATTTTGACTCATTGAACTGGCAGCAGTGCAGAGACATTAGCTTCTAAAGGTTCTGAGTGGGACTGACCTCTGGGACCAATCAGAGATTTTCTATTATTTCTGCTTAATCAGTGAGTTTTGTTGCATTCTCATTTATTGTATTTTCATAATGACAAACATCTGAAGAGCTGGGCAGAGCGCTGGGCGGAGCAGAGCAGGTCGGTTCGGAAGTTCATGCTAGTGCTATCCAAGTTACACACTGTAGCTTTAAGTCATCAGATAATCACACAATGACTATTATCATTACTCCAGTAGGTGTGGATGTGGGCTATACTATGTGAAAGTGAAAAGACAATGTGTGTGTGCTCCACCCAGAGAGCTGCTGCAGGCAGGTTAAAACAAACAGAGATATTCTGTCTGATCCTGCAGCAGGTTTTCCTTGTCAGCCAACAACACAGCGCCTCATCTTGTTTAAGCCCCATCTGTACTTTTGGTTTTGTCAGAGCTGTGAGGGTTGAGCCGCTCACACAGATGGGTATTTACTAGTATGAATGAGTGTTGTACTAACAGGAAAAACAATCTGTTTTTGAACAACAAACGACAAAGCTTTTTGTCAAATACTAAAAAGATCATGTATTTCTAACAAACAGTGGCTTATTTCTGGTCACAACAGGCACAAGCATCATCGCTACAAGTTTAAATTCTGTTGTGGAGGCGACAGACGGTTCAGCCAACGCTTCCTCATGTCAATACTCACATAGATTTTGTCTTTGCTGTATCTCACACGAACGTTATTGAGCAGAGTGGCTTCATTCAAATACATCAAAGAGCCTGAGAGACAGAAAAACGACAAGCTGTTACCGAAGGCAGATTCAGTTTATCTCCAGTTAGCAGCTAAATGTCTAAGGAGCAACACTTCCCCCAGTTGCAGGCAGGAATCAGAAAAGATGAGATTTATTAGAAGGTGAATTCAAACTTACAGTTGTCCTCAACGTGTTTGTTGACATCGTCCTCTGCAGGGAAGACTTGGTTGACGGGAGCCAAAAAGGTCTGTGAGAAAAACAGAAGAAGCTGAGTGAAGACAGAGACGGCCATATGGCTCCGTTGTTTAACTACTAAAAAGATTTCGTACTGAAGCCGAGAGGGGAGTGCACAGTGGCTTCAGACCTGCCGCATGTTGGACAGTGTTGTAGATTTAATTTGAAATGGATACAATCCCCATTTCTCTCCATCAGTCTACACTGGATCACCAACAACAACAAAGGGACATGAGTTCTATGTTTCTGAAGCCCATAGTTGAAAAGGAAATTATAGAGATAGTGAACAAATGTGTTAACAAAACATCTAGTGATAGT